GTTGGAGAATACAGAGTCATGGCAGAAATGGGAGCTACTCTCATTGCTCTTCTCTCGAAACACGGAGACATAGCTGCAAATTGCTCTCTGCAATCCTTATCGTGTCGGTCCTTCTTCTGGGAAATCGCTTGCCGCATCTTCCAAAAACTAGAAGAAGCTGAGTTGAAGAACCTGGATGAAACCGATCTGAAAACCATAATTGCCGACATTGACGATCTTGAGTCGGTAAATATGGAGGTGGGTTGGCTTAGGAAGAGACTAAATGAAATTACAGAGCGACCGAAAGTTGGCGAGTTTTGTTTTAAAGTAGAAGGAGTAAGAAGAAGAAGATCTAATGGTGCTGCGAAAATGGAGATAGAAACGGAAGAGGGAAACACAGATTGATTTCTGAACCTATCTCCAGACTCCAGCAGGGAGGATCGATTGTGTGCTTCGATTCTAGCTCGGCACTCATTTATTGTACGCGTGGAAAACACTTATTGGATCCAAACCGTTCTGTTGGAAAATAAGAAATATCTAATAATTTCTCCATCTACGAGTCAGACAACATGGTCTAATCATCCACTTTCCTCGGCCACATCACCACCATCCACGTCTATCTTGCTCGACAAAACCGACGGCTGCCCGTGCCCATATCCCATCTGCAAGTACTTTACTCGCGGTTGGCAACTTGGCATTTACGGTGTCGTTTTGTAACTTTTTAATCATTAACAAACAAATAACTTTATGTTGAATTATGAACAAATTTATTCAAATAAATGAATCTTCTTCTCCGGAAGTAGACAACTTTCACCATGATTTTACCTTTAGCGAATATTCTTCTTTTTCTCTTTGCTTTAAAAGGAACTGAGCCAGTGCTGTAAGTAACACAGCATGCATTGACGAGATCCTGAATGGGAGACACTAACAAGAAGATCAGTAACGATAGAGAATCAAAAAGCTGGTTATGGTGGCTGCTGGTTTTTGTCATTGGAGCTCTGGTCATAGCTGCTGGTATCCTCACAATTCTGAGGAATTATTTTCGAGATCATCACTCTCAGCAATCTTCAATTTCGAATCATCCCAATGCCGTCGTCAAGAAATATGCCGACGCACTTGAAGTTGCTCTGCAATTCTTCGACGTACAAAAATGTATATCTCTAGCCTGCAAATAAACTTTTACTGTGTTTTTCTCCTTCGTTTTGGCGCCATCATTTTCTGGGTTTTCTTACGCAGCTGGTAAGATAGTGAATAACAGTGTTACTTGGAGAGAAGACTCGGGTTTACGAGATGGGAGTGAAGAGAAACTGGATTTGTCGAAAGGGATGTACGACGCTGGGGATCACATGAAGTTTGGGTTCCCCATGGCTTTCACTGCCACGGTGTTGGCGTGGGGAATTCTTGAATATGGTGATCAGATGAACGCGGTGAATCAACTGGAGCACGCACAGGAGTCGCTGAAGTGGATTACTGATTATCTTATCAATGCTCATTCCTCTGCAAATGTGCTTTACATACAGGTTGTTTCTCGATCTTTCTCGTTTATCTGTTTGTGGTGGTGGGTGTTGTTATTTGTAGTTCTCAGATAATGTTTCTTTAATTTCCTCAATGGCATCGAAAAGATTGATATTACATATTTTCAGTATATTCTTTTTTTATTGGGTTCTTGCGTCCACCTTCAAAGGCATTTTTACTAGTGGCAGATTCTCACTGCTGCAATTCGTTCAACATAATCCAAGATGTTAACTTAAATGAACCCAATATTCATATTGTGAGCCTTCTACATACACATATATGTATATATATGTGTATATTGAGAACGTGAGCCTTCTATATTTGCATCATCTTTACAATACAAATTGAGAGAAGAGTTGGAAGTTGGAACATGATTTTATGTCCTGTTTTTCCGAGTTTGAAGGTGGAAGATCCAGAAATTGACCATAACTGTTGGAGAGGTCTGAATTCCTGTTGTTGTTTTCAGGGCTTATTTTGTATAATTTCTTCAATGGCATTGAGGAGATTGATATGATATATATATAAGCTTTGGAGTTTATATAAAGCATGTGGGTCTCTTCATTTTTCATATTTTCTTCCTTATGGGTTCTTGAATCTCATCTTTAAAGACAAATGATAGTTATGGCAGATTTTGATAGCTGGAATTACATGCTTCAAATATATATATGTAATCCAATATGTTACCCAGTTGAACCAATATTCATATTAGGAATTGATCCAAGAATCTGATATTCTGTCTTTGTGTTTCTTTTTGGTGTTTGAAGATCGGAGATCCAGAAATTGATCATAACTGTTGGGAGAGGCCTGAAAACATGAAAGATTTTTCATATTTTCTTCTTTATGGGTTCTCGAATCTCATCTTTAAAGACAAATGATAGTTATGGCAGATTTTGATAGCTGGAATTACATGCTTCAAATATATATATGTAATCCAGTATGTTTGAACCAATATTCATATTAGGAATTGATCGTAGAATCTGATATTCTGTCTTTGTGTTTCTTTTTGGTGTTTGAAGATCGGAGATCCAGAAATTGATCATAACTGTTGGGAGAGGCCTGAAAACATGAAAGAGAGAAGGCCTGCAACACAGGTCAATGCATCTTACCCTGGAACAGAAGTTGCAGCAGAAACTGCAGCAGCTATGGCATCAGCATCTTTGGTCTTCAAGAAAATTAACCCCACATATTGTAATTTACTCCTTAACCATGCTCAGCAGCTATTTACCTTTGCCGATAATTTTAGAGGTTCTTACAGTGCAAGTATTCCCCAAGTACAGAGTTACTATAACTCTAGTGGATATGTAGATGAATTGCTTTGGGCGGCTAGCTGGCTTTACCATGCAACAGGAGATCTGTCATACTTGAATTATGTTACTGTGATGAATGGCCAAGTGTTCACTAACTGGGGAAGTCCAACTTGGTTCAGCTGGGATGACAAGCTTTTTGGAACTCAGGTAATAAAATTATAATGCAGTGTTTCACATGTAAATTCTTTCTCTGCTCAACCGCTGCTTCTTTGGAGTTATATATGTTTGTATAGGTAAGATTTTGTAATACTCTGATTCTACGTCAAAAAATAAGTGATTATTAAGTTTTATATAAAATTTTAAGTTTAATTTCTTAAGTTTTATTTAAAGTTTTAAGTTTCATACTATAAATATTTCGAATTTAAATTTTTGAAGGTCAATGGGTTTGAGTCTAAAAAGATTGTTGGATTATTGATGCTTGGGCGTAGTGTGTTAACAGATCAAAATTGAAGAAATAATGTTGTTGCTTTGTGTGCTTGGGGAAGGGAATTTGTAATTTTGTCAATGGAATCCTCTATTTTTTCTGTATTAGGATATTAGAACAGGGGAGATGGCTCATTAACCTAAAACAAATTAATCTGATTACAGAAACAAAATCAATCAAGTTAATCTTGAATAAGAACAACCAAGCAAATATATGAAAGTATTGAATCTTGAACAGGTTCTGCTGTCTAGAATCAATATGTTTGGTGCAAGGGGGATATCGAATGTTGAGAATCTTGATCTTCAAATGTATAGGAAAACTGCAGAGGCCATGATTTGTAGGCTTTTACCAGATTCACCAACAGCCACATCAAGCAGAACAGTCGGTAATCCTTCTTGATCATAATTATCTTACATTTATTGACATCCTCTAATTTTTTTCAGTAAAATTTTTCTGTTCCGTACCGAGAACATTTTCATTTTTTTTTGCATCTTGATGATTTCTGAACCCTTAAACATATTATTTTAATCCAGGTGGACTCATATGGATCGGCGAGTGGAACTGTCTGCAATATGCAGTGGCTTCTGCATTTCTAGCTGTTCTTTTCAGTGATTACCTGCTTACATCCAGCACCAATACTCTATACTGCAATGGGAAATCCTATGGGCCAGATGATCTTCGCAAGTTTGCAATTTCACAGGTTTGTGATTCAATTTAACAATAACACAAATGAAGTAACAATTTCCATGGTTACGACCGATCAAATGTTGGGATTGATGATGACTCGAATACGAAAACAACTTTGATCAGGTGGATTATGTATTGGGAAAGAATCCAATGAACATGAGCTACCTGGTTGGATATGGGAGTTACTACCCTCAATATGTACACCATAGAGGAGCTTCGATTCCAGTTGATGCAGACACAGACTGCAAAGAAGGATTCAAGGTTTGGTTTGATTCTCCCAAGCCAAATCCAAATGTAGCTGTTGGAGCACTCGTTGGTGGTCCTTTCCTAAATGAAACCTATAATGATGCCAGAAACAACATTGTCCAAGCAGAACCAACCACTTATAACAGTGCTCTGATTGTCGGCCTCTTATCAGGCTTGGTCGCTAGTTCTTCAGTCCCGGGATCCTTTCTGTAGGAAACTTTGCTTCGAACAAATTCATAATTTTTGTAGAATTTATTTATAAATTCACATATTGTATAACTAAGAGAAAATATAATTTTTATGATAAGATAATAGACATTAATTTAATAGAGCATTGTACGTAGGGAATATAGTTTTAATTTTATCAAATTTTGATTTGTTCTAAGCTAAATCGGAACAAAAATTTATATTTTATTTAAATTTGAACTTTGGTTCTAAACTAAATCAGAATAAAAATTTATATTTGATTTAAATTTGAACTTTAAAACAAGAGTTCTTAAGATGATAAAAATTATAAAATTTTATTACAAAAAAATCTAATTAGATTCGATATATATTTTTATAGTATGAATTTAACATTTCATAATAAAAAAATTTAAATGAAAATAATATTTTACTTCAAAATTTTATGTTATATTGTATAATACATTAATTCCTTATACAAATTTATTCAAATGAGAAAAGAGAGTTCATTTACCTATAACTTTTTAAAGGAAATATGTTTAATTAAAAAAGAATAAATGAATAATAAAAATAAATAGAAGGAAGGGAGAAAACAAAAACCGTATATTACCAGCACAGTAAGCTTCCCACTCTGTCTTTCTATCTGTTTATGCTTTGCCTTTCCTAACGCGTGTGACGGAGGAGCAGCCCTCCATTTCTCCTTTGCAGTCAACCTCACCCGATTCCTTTCCTTTCCTCCAATCACGAAGGTTCTCTATCTTCTCTCTCTCTCTCTCTCTCTCTCTCTCTCTCTGTGCATGCGATCACGGATAAATAAAAAACGCACCGATTTGTCTTCTAATTGTTCCTTTTCTTGTTTTGTTCTCATTTGGGTCTTATTTGTCTGAGGTTTAGTGTTTATTTCCAGCTTAAGCAGCCTCGAGTATGGATAGGCGCTTGATTTTGATTGTAATTATTGCTCTGATTTCATAGTAGGGTTTTTTGTTAGCTCAGATCGGTTAATTCACTTCTTCAGATTTCCTATTTGCTTTCTTTGTGTACTCTTATAATGGCCGTTAGTTGTTGCTTGTTTGCCTAGAAAATTTTTGAAGTTTCTGCTCTTTAGTAGCTTTTTACCCTATTAGGGTTGTGAGCATTTGCTGATAATTCCATGATAATGCAAGGTAATTTTCTTTTCAATTAGCATCAGGATCTGGGTTGGTACGCTTTCTATTTGGTTAGTGTTGCATTTCGTTATTTTAGTGGTTAATTTGAATAGATAGCTGGAATTCTATTTACAGTTACCATTGAGGGGAATGACGAGGAAACCAAGTTGGTATGTTTGAACGGTAGAATGTGAGCAGGATGTTTTAAGTTTTAACTTGAATTAGTTGGAAGAGAACTTGTGTTTTGTGTTTTTCTTTCTTTTCTAAAGTTCAATTTGGGAGGAAGAAAATGAAAGTGGAAAGGAGGAAAGGGAACTAGATTGATTGACGCTGCAGAAAAATGTTTGTTGAGGGAAGAGAATTTATTGAATGAATTTTCTGGAAAGAATGGAGAAAACTAAATTTGATGATATTGGCCTTCTAGATACCAGTTTTATGTCCCTCAAGTGTTTAGCTTTCTACCCAGAAACCATAAGGGCCTGATTATTATTCTTGCATCGTATAAGCTCAATTTGGTTTCTTGGCAATATTTTATATCCTTTAATCTTATACGTGATTTTCTCTTAGTAAAGAGTAGTATACGAGGAACCTTAAAGAAATGTCCTTAAAGCAAATAGATGTGTAAATAAGTAGTTACATGTTTTGATAAAATGTTTATTCCAAAAAAAAAAAGCATTAGGGTGCTTTAAGTTCCTTAAAACAAATATTTTTACTTAAAATATGAGTTGTTACATATGTGGATAAAGTATTCATTCCAAAAAACAAACACTAGGGTGCCTATTTTTTCAGTTTTATGAATCCAAAGCACTCTTTACCAAACAGTGAGATTGAAGCAAAATGCTCGAAATTGCTTGTAAGCATAAATTAGACATTTCAGACATTCTCTAATTGAGTTGCTTCATGTCATTGTGGCATCTTGTTTCTAATATTTATGGTTTTTTTATCTTAATATTTTGTTGTTTTGCATTGGCTCAATACTCGGGGCTCTGATATGTGTTTCCATGTGACTTAGGAAAGGGTATGGCAGCTGAACAAGATGTTGACTTCTCAACTTTGAAGTCTCAGCTGAGTGAAACTCATGAGATGTGGAAGCAGGAGATGGAAAGACGTGAGTCCGAAGTGGACGTATTACAGGCCAAACTTATGGAAGTTAAGGTTTGTATTCAGGGGTCTGAAGAAGATGCAAAGAAGGAGCTGGAGGTTCTTTGGCGTAGAGTCAAAACAACTGCTACCTTGTTGACCTACTTGAAATCAAAAGCAAGGATCATGGCCATCCCTGATTTGGCCCATTTATCGTGTGGTGTCAAACAACTAGATGGAGTGGGGCTTGTTGATCGAAATGGTACCCCACTGTCTGCATGGTCTAAGAGTGTTGATCTTTCATCATTTGATAGTCAAGATGAAGATGCATGGATTGGAATTGATAAACAGCGAGGCCCACTGGATGAACATGATGGAGCTTATCTTGGTGAAATTCTTAGGTCTGTACAGATGGTCACAGATGTGATGGAAGTTCTTGTTAAGCGTGTCATAATGGCTGAGTCAGAAACTGCAATTGAGAAGGATAAGGTATCTTTAGGCCAGGAAGAAATTAAAAGGAAAGCAATCCAAATTGAGAATATGTCTCTAAAGTTAGAGGAGATGGAACGATTTGCTTCAGGAACAAACAGTATTCTCAATGAAATGAGGCAGAGAGTTGAGGATTTGGTGGAAGAAACATCTAGACTGAGACAAAGAGCTGCAGAAAATGAACAGGAGCTTTGTCGTGTGAAGAGAGATTTTGAGTCTCTGAAATCCTATGTTAGTGGTCTCATTAGTGTAAGAGAAACACTTCTTTCATCAGAGAAGCAATTCCAAACAATTGAGAGGCTCTTTGAACGGTCAGTTTGATAATATCTTTTAAATTCTTGTTTTGTTGTTATTGTAGTGCTTATCTCAATTCATCAAGTATCTGGGAAAAACTGAGCTAATGATATAACAATCTTCTTTGATATTATGATGCTCCCTTCAGTTGGTTGATTGAGTCTTGAGTTTTTTCAATTGAAGTATATTTTAGTTTCCTAGCTCATCAAACTACAATAACTGGTCAATTTTTTGTACACAATGGTACCTCTGCATATTTTTTTCTGAGCCATCCTGGTAGTGGGGATGGCTCTCGAAAGGATATATGTTCGGAACGTGAAAATTTTCAAGTTTTTTCGACGGACAGATTTTAAGTGCCAAAAACTAAAAACCAACTGGGGGGTAATTATGAGGATAATTGGGATTGTGAACTCTTAGAGAGTTTTCCTACCTCATTTCTGTTGCCATTGGACACAGCATTATTTTGCACAGTTACGTGGAAAGAGCTTACTGTTCCTAGTCTTTCTTGATGATGGCCTAATTAATTATTACTTCTACTCCTAGCTGGTTGTTCAAAAGGTTGTAAATTTGATTATTATCATGTTTCACCCAGATGGCACGTGATTGATGAATGACTTTGTCATTTGCATTTGGCCTTTTCTGGTTTGAGGGTGTGTTTTTTTTTTTGAAATAAAAAGTGTAAGATGTATACTAACAGGGTACCAAAAAAGAGGGGGTACCACTCATGTATAAAGATTTACAATATAGTTAAGAGTATCTATGACATTCCCAAAATACTCATCACAAGTAATGTTATGACCTAGCAAACTAGTCCCAAACTTGTGTATCCACCTATCTTTTAGACTATACAAACCTATTCTTTACCCTCAAACGCCCCAACATTCATTTTTTTCCAAAGAACTCAAAAAATGATCAATGGAATTAGTTTTGTAACATTTCTTTTAACACATAAACCCTCCCAAGCCCATAATTCCCCATGGACAGTCTCAGAGATGATCCAATTTATTCCAATGAAGTATAAATCATACTCCACAAACCGTAAGCCGTAGGACGCCAAAAGAGTCGATGGTTGCATGATTCATTTGTCTTCATACAAAGATAGCATCTGTTGACTATGAACTATCCCCTGGCTCTTAATTTATCAATTGTGAGGATACTTTCTCTGCAGGCCTCCCAAGTGAAAAAGGCGGTTCTTGGAGATGCCTTAACATTCCAGATTTGACTCGCGGGGAAATTCTGTAAACCACCTTCATTATCCCCCACTCAGATGACTGTAGTAGGATCCCACAGATAACTTCCCTTTGTTATCCATTTTCCAAGTGATCTGATCCGAATTATGGTTGCATGATTCCCTTTGTTATTTTTGTTCTGTAGTTAAGGTGAGGATCTCTGAGAGCATTTTTTCATAAGTCAGTTTTATCTTCACTTTGGTTTCCCCAATGTGACTGTGCTTCATGAACCTACAGCTCTCCAGACTGTTAAACTAGAGACATTTATTGAAGCCTACTTTGAGCTAGCACTGGTCTCAGTTTGTGGTCGTCTTGGAATTTCTCTTTGTTCTGTCTATCTGCATGTACATCCATGAACAAATATCTATGTCTACATGTATGTTCAAGTTTACACGAATAATCTACTAGTTTCTAGTTCTCTTTCTTATTTGCGAGCTGCTTTTTTCATTCTTCGAGAAATCCTTTACATGTCTATCATCTAGTCTGGTTTCTAGCAGGTTAGTTGCAAAGACAACACAATTGGAGGGTGAGAAAATGCAGAAAGAGGCAGAAGTCCAGAAACTCATGGAAGAGAACGTAAGGTTGACGACCCTTCTTGACAAGAAAGAAGCGCAACTTCTGGCCATGAATGAACAATGCAAAGTAATGGCCTTGAGTGCTTCGAACATCTGAGTTGCTGGTCTTCTCTTTTTTTTTTTTTTTCAACCACCTCTTCCTTACTTGCCAGATTCTTGCATTCTTCTATCCCCACTTGCTGAAATGCAAGAGGAAAGTTGGGAGAACCTGCACGGTGCTGGATTAGAAAGTTTGTTTCATATTCCCCGTTTGAAAATGTAACAATGTGATGAGCTCTGTGAATGGACTCTTATTAGATTCTTCTTGCTTGAGATATTAGGAACAATACAAGAAAGTCGTCACTGTAAATTATTGAGATCTAGATTTCTGGAGTGATTTACCTTCAAAAATTGGTTGGTCTCCGTCTGGGCTGCGATTCTAGTCCATGAACTACAGGAAAACGGTCCCTTTTTCTCAGGCTCAGGTCCAAGAGGGATTTTAACATCTGGGTAAAATGAATTCTTTGAGAATTTACCATTTAGATACTTGGGGTATCAAGGAGTTATTTACATATTGTAAGTAGTCATTAAACTTACTAATTAAAATTAAATTATAATTAAAAATGAATTTAATTTAACTAGTCAAAACTAATAAAAAGAAATATTATTAAAAAAATCTGTCCTTACTATGTGATGATTTCAGATTATGACGTCTATAAAATTTCCTGATAAATAAAATTATTCAAATAAATATATTATATTTATTTTAAGATATTATTTATACTGCTTCTTCTTTTTATAAAAAAAAAAAAAGAAAAAAAGTGAAAACGAGTTAAAAGTAACTGTAAACCTGAACGAGAATTAAGAAATTCTTATTTTCAGAAGACGGAATCCTCCATTTCCGTATTCCTCAAAATTGACACTGAGAATCCCTAAATATTACTTTTCGTGTTCTTTCTTATTTTATCAAATATTCTGTGTCTTCAAAGAGGAGTAAATCAGTGATTTACTAAGCGCATTTTTTATCTGCAAAAATGTTAGGTGAAAATCAACAGGAAGATGCCGGCTCTGCTCCAAGGCCGCACCGAATCATCAAACTTGGCAAAGCCACCGATGACAATGAAAAGAAGGTTCTCTCGAGTTCCTAATCTCTAACAGCAAGCTCCATGCATGTTAACCTCGCAAAATTTTCTCCAGTTTTTGGTGCATCCCGTATTCTTAGTGTAGGGTTTTACAGGAACTTTTTGCGTTAGGGAATGAGCGGCAAGGGCATGGAAAATCGAAATTCAGTTGTTTTTCACTTTTTGTTTTGTTGCCGTTAATCGTGGCCTGCAATTTTGTGGCTTCTGGACCAAGTTTCGGTGACAGTTTTGCATGGGAAATGTTTCCTCGAATGTAAAGGATCACGATTTCTTTCTGCAGAGCAGACATTTGCTCTTTTAGTATTTTTCTTTGAGTACGGGCTTTTTGGTCATGAATTTTTTCCAGTTCAGTTATTCTAAATGGCATGACATTGTTTTTTTTTTTTTTGAGCTATCATGGTGTATGTTTATTTACTTGGTTGTTTACTGGTTTATCTTCTCTCTTTTGTCCTAGATTTCAAACAAAAGAGTTAAAGATGTTGAAGTTTGCGTTCCAATAGTATGTGGAACAATTGCCTTTTATCTTGGTCGAAAGGCGAGCGAGTAAGTATTGACCTTATTTCATTGTTGCTTTTCATTCATTTGGTATTTCCATTTTTAAACGTCCGCGATATTTTTGAATTATCTTGACTTATTTTATTGTAACATTTAGTTCACAGTCACATAAGTGGACTGTCTATGTACGGGGAGCTTCAAACGAAGATCTTGGGGCGGTTATCAAGCGAGTTGTTTTCAAATTGCATCCAAGTTTCAATAACCCCACCAGAGTGGTCGAATCTCCTCCTTTTGAGCTGTCGGAATGTGGTTGGGGTGAATTTGAAATTGCCATCACCCTTTTCTTCCATAGCGACACCTGTGACAGGCAGTTGGATTTGTGAGTTTTTCTTTAGTTGCTACGTTGCTTTACTTTCTGGAGAGTTTATCTGCTAAGGATATTAAAATTTGCAGGTTTCATCAATTAAATTGTACCTGAGAGAATCTGGCCT